ATTAGCCAACCTTTAAAATCAGATTTCACACAATAATCCAGATTTCTGGCTTACAGTGAAAAATCAGAAAATCTGGCAACACCAGCCCACATTCCCATGCGGCAACCATGCACTTCTGATGGGCCTCCCACTCCTGATGACCCCACCTGGAGGGCGAGTGCCTGCTGCCACAAATCATCTCTGAGGCATACTATTTGCTCAAGACCCCTAGGCTACTGCTAGTATCCAACTCTGATTAGCACAGAAATTACAGATCTAACTTCTGCTTGGTACAGAACTTAGCAGGTATAAATAAGTTATAAGGAAAATAATTTAGAACAGGTGAAAGATAAACTATTTTGGAATAGAAAAATACCTTGAGAGCTAAGTTGAAGAACAAGTGCATCTCTCCTCTCTCTCTCTGAGTGTGTGTTTGTGCAAGATGTATAAAACCGCAGCCCACTTCCCACTTTGTACTTTATTACTGGCTAAATATTAAGATAAATAATACAATTGTTAAAGTAAAACTTGAACAGAATAAATTCACTCCAGTAAAGAGATTATACTTGAGTATAATGAAGCATAATTTTATTGTATTTAAAAAATAAAGGTACGAATGGAACAGCCTATGAATATGATGTAGATATATGGATATTTATTTATTCATTCATCTACTTTGAGGTAATGTAAATGAAAAAAAATAGTTTTATTGAATATATTTATGGCATTTATTCAGCAAACATTTGTTATAGCAGTTTTTTCAGCTAAGACATAACACCTTAGCAAATATTAGGTATATCTTTACATGATATGTTTATGCACAGTAGTTATTGTGGGTGAGATTTAACTAGGAAGAGGGTGCTTAAGATGTACTTTACAAGTGGCATTCTATCATCAATATGGGTGACAAAAGAGAACAGGGCTAGAGAAAACACCAGAACAATTAAGTGATTTAAAGTTACCCTCTCAATTCCGGGATAAAATTTCATTCAAGTAGTTTTATCAATAGGCTGATACTTCTAAGACCAACTTGGGATGACAAGAGCATTGGCCTGGAAGCCTAAATGCTGGGATGCCACTACAGCTCTACTCTTCAAACATGCAGCACGAACCAGAGGATTATCTGGTACCTTTACACCTCAAAACCTGATTCTCTTTTTCTTGTAACAGAAATATTACTAGGTATCATAGGTGTTATAAAATAAATACAAAGAAATGTGCAGAAATGAGAAAGGGAACAGTAGATAAGAGAATAGGTATATATTGAGGCCGGGCACAGTGGCTCACGCCTGTAATCCCAGCACTTTGGAAGGCCGAGGTGGACGGATCATGAGGTCAGGAGATCGAGACCAGCCTGCCTAACGGTGAAACCCCGTCTCTACCAAAAATACAAAAAAAAAAAACCAATTAGCTGGGTGTGGTGGCAGGCGCCTGTAGTCCCAGTTACTTGGGAGGTTGAGGCAGGAGAATGGCGTGAACCCGTCAGGCGGAGCTTGCAGTGAGCTGAGATCGCGCCACTGCACTCCAGCCTGGCAACAGAGTGAGACTCCATCTCAAAAAAAAAAAAAAAAAGAGAGAATAGGTATATATTACAAAATATTTAGAGGTCTGGTTTAAAATATAAAAGTCTGGTATAAAATGAGTCTGGTTTCAAATTCCACCTCCGCCACTTCTGTGTGACATTGTTGTAAATTACATAACGTCTCCAGCCTTATGACCTCATTTGTACAGTAGGAATAAGTCTACCTTTCACTCAGAATTGTTTTGAGGATATATGAGAATACATGTAAATTCCAGGGCATAGGTTTGGACAACCAGTAAGTGCCTAATAAATAGCTGTTATTATTAATAACTTTAGGTGTTCTATACATTGTCCAAGTACTTCTTAACCAGATAAGTTAAATACAAAAACAAAAAAGTAGCCATATCTGAGAATACACTGATTTTAAAAGCCTGTTCAGCAGAGTGCCACTGCAAGCATCAGGGGGACCATTTTTCCAAGAATTTTAATTTTCTAATATTTCTTAAAATTCGGTTGTAAGCAATCAGTGAAGAGAATTTTGACTGATGGCATTTTATACCCGGTCTGAAGAGTTCTGTCCCGTCTCTATAGCGCGAGAGATTTTGAGACACACCTTTCTGGCGGCCAATGACCATCAGAGAAAAAGGTGTCCTCTTGTACATCCTTTCTTCTCCTTGTTCTGTAGAACTCGTTGCAGTGCTGGCTATCTGTTGATGCTAATATGTAGCAATGGGATTTATGCATTGCTGGGGAAGTGAAGCTTTCTCTGGCACTATTCCTAACTATTACCAGCAAGCATAACAGGAAAGAAAAAAATGTTTAAAAAAAAATGCTTGTAATGGAACCTAACACCATATTTATGAGCGTTCCCCAATAGCAGGTGTCAAGGGGTAGATACAGACCTCTTGAAAACCTCAGAGGAGTAGTAGTTCCCAGACTTTTGATTTCACGGGCCAGTAAAATGTCAAAAGAAAGACTATCATAAAATTGCCAGCTTAAAACTGGACTTAGAAATGACACCAAAAAACCATCACCAGCCTTTCATAACATGAAAAAACAAGCCAACCCTCCAGTAGGAAGGACAACCCAAGATTAAACAAAACAAAAGCAAAACAAAACAAAAAAACAGACTCTTGTAATTGAATAAACTTAGCACTAAAGTTGAAACAGAAAAGCTTGTTGCATTGTCTTTACTCTTCTCACTTTTTCATGGGCTGGTGAAACTGTCATCAAGGACCCACTCTGGAAACAACTGCTCAAGGATGAACTGGGAGTTGGTCCCATCGCCCATCCAGCCCGGGCTGCACTATCTCATAGAGGAACCAAGGGCCATGGTGGACTATGTGCTGTTTGGGTCACTACACCTTCCAAGAAGACTGACATATTCTTAAAGCTTCTCTTTTGTCTTAATAACCAATGATGGGCTCGCTGGCCACAAATGTTTCAAACCCATTTGAAGGTGTGTTCAGTCAGCATCCAGCCTTTGTGCACAACTACTAAGACAGTGGTTCTGAGCCGAGCTGCACGTGAGAATTACTTGGAGGCAGGGTGGGCTCTTTTCAAAACTAAACTCCATATCCACAGATTCTGATTCAATAGGCATGGGGAAGGGTCTGAATATACGTATTTTAAAAATATTCCCCAGACTGATTCTGATGCCAGCCAGGGTTAAGAAAAACCATATTTCTTGGTATTCATCCTGAATTTACATCTTGTAAAGCTTTAAGGTATAACTCTTCATTCATTCCTCTGGGTGACAAATACTAATAGAGGGTCTGCCATGTGCAAGGCACTAGAAAATCAGTAGAGAACAAGAGAGATAAATCCCTACCCTCACCACACTGACAGAGTGTTGGAGCATGAAGACAAGGAGGCAACTAAAATAGCACACTCGGACTTATTAGAATAAAGTGAACTACCAAGGCTGCCTATGGCCCTATCCTTGTGGCTTCACAGACCTCCATGCCATCTCCTCTCAGATGACTCTTTCCAGGTGCTAGAAATCCTGATATTTCTATCAGAGAAACAGATGAGCAAGGACCCTGTCCTCATGAAGCTTACATTCTAGCAGCAATGTCCAAATATTCCAGGTATCATTACAATGGTCATTCCAGCTCGAGTGTCTTTCTGAAGGTTAGGTGCCCATGTCTTTGGGGGAAAAAATACACTGTGAAAAATCAATTAAGACTGTATTTTCCATTTTGTTTTTTTTTTTTCCAAAATCTTTTTTTTTATTTTTTGAGACAGAGTCTCACTCTGTCGCCCAGGCTGGAGTGCAATGGCACGATCTCAGCTCACTGAAAACTCCGCCGACCAAGTTCAAGTGATTCTCCTGCCTCAATCTCCAGAGTAGCTGGGATTACAGGCACCACCACCACATCCGGTTAATTTTTTAATTTTTAGTAGAGACAGAGTTTCACCACGTTGGCCAGGCTGGTCACAAATTCCTGACCTTAGGTGATCTGCCCACCTCAGCCTCCCAAACTGCTGGGATTACAGGAGTGAGCCACCATGCCCAGCCCCAAAATCTTTTTGACGAAGCCTAGTATTTCATGGTTTTTGTTTTTCTGCAACAGCAAGTCAGGACAACAACATGAAGGTATTTTCAAAGCCCTTCCCTGAGTTTATCCAACAAAACACCATCCTATGAAAATTCTATAATTTCCCCTTAATACCCAACCACCTATTAGCCAACAAGAAACTCACCTGCAAATCTTCTGATGACTAATACATCCTAGTGTGGTTTCCCTGGAGCAAATCCCCAGTGGTTAGACATTTCATAATCCAGAAAAGCTGTCATCTGCAAACTTAGAAATTCCACTGTGTGCTCCTTCTTTTAGATCAATTATATAAATAAGACCCAAGGGACCCCACTGTTTACACACCTCTAAGCAGAGAAGAAATCCTGATCCTTAGCCTTTATTGTTGGTCTTTAAGGCAGATAGATTCTAATGCCTACTCTGTCACTACATGTGTAAACTTAAGCTAATCACATCACCTCCCTGTGCCTGGATATGCTCAACTATAAAATTTAAGGGTTAATCCCTTCCAGCTGAAAAGTCTTTCTATTCAAAATGACACAACTGCGTCCTTAATTCTAAGACTTCAACTTCGACACAGCCTTCGAAAATATAAAAGGACAGCAATACTTTTCCCCTCAAAAAACCTCAAATATTCAGAAGGCATCCCTTCTTTTCATTGGATTATCCTTCATCTCCAGAGGAGATAAAGAGGTTTCCCATATGGACTGGTAGAGAAGGGAAACCAAGTAGACTGCACCATCTGGACAGCCAACACACTAACAGAGGATTGGGGCACAATGGACGTTCATCACAAAGAGGTCACACACATTGGCCATGAGATTTGAAATCTTCCTCTAGCTCTCCTTCAACACTGTGAGATAGCTACCACCCAAATCAAGTAATTTATTAAATCTAGTTCATTGGATAGAGCCAGAGTATTTGGAGAACTTGGCACTAAGTTACCTGGGATTTCTTACCTGCCAGCTTCAGAAGACATCTGGGAATGGTAATTTCCTAACGTCTTTGCAGTGAAGACTGTAAAATCAAGTATGAACTTACATCAATGACAAGTTAAAGCCAAGCTCTGAGAAAAAGGTTTGTTTCTAAACCTCAATCCTCTCTCCTTCCCTAAATATAAGTCTGTCACTAAATATTTGAGGCATATTAGCAAAAAAGAAAACAAAGCTTAGCCTGAGTGGGAACCAAGTCCATAGTTGATTTTTGCCAGTTATCCTACCTTCTCACAATTTTCAAAAGCAACTCGAACCCCGCAAGCTTCAGATTTGCACAAAACGTTAGAAACTCTCTTTCAGATACATAAACAGAACTACAAAGACCCAGAGGAAGGAATTCAGATTTCAGAAGCTTGCAACAGACTCGAACAATTTCAAAATGGTACCACAGGTGCAAACATTTCAAGAGCTGAATGCCATGTGGCCTGGCATTTAGATTTCTCAAAAGCCCCCCAAAATAAGGGCTAATTAGCCCTAGAACTCACCTCCATCACTCAGTGATCCCAGCTCTCACACAGGACCAACAGTGCCCCCAAACTACTGAGTTTTACATAGTACTGACTGACTACCATTTTCAACAAAGTCATCCTCCATTCCTCTCTCATATAATTAGAAGACATAAATTCAAAAATGTCAAAGGCTAGAAGATTGGATCAAAATAAATAGGATAACATTGAGAAGGAACAACAACAAAAACTTCTCCAAAAAAAATCTGCCGAAGAAATACAGGATGCAACAGCTCACAGAGCAAATATCTGGGGGTTTTGACTATCCAAAACATGATTATCTAATAAAGAAGTTGGTGCTCAGCACTGCCTAAGAAAACCAAAGGCAGTTGTAAGCTTAAGGTGCAGTAAGTAGACATTTATGTCTAGGTCTCAGCAGACAGCCATCTTACTGTACTCTCTGTTGGCCAGATCACATCTCAATTACATATTCAATTCCAGATTCTCCATGTGAGATGCTGATAAACTGAGAAGACATCGAGAAACCACATCCCAATAAAAGACTGTGAAAAGAATTGGGACTAGTTTGCATTAGGAAAATCAACTGGGGGTAAGGGGACATCATATTCTCTTGGTGCATTCAAAGAGAGTAGGCAGCTCGAAAAGAATAAAATCATTGGAAAAAAAAAATTCAAGGAGACAGCCTTCAGCTCAAGTAATAATACAACAAACAGTCCAAAGGTGTAATAACCTGTATTCAGGAGAAGTTCACAGTTTCTGGGGTTATTTAAACAAAGGTTACCTAGAAAGGGTAAGAATTTATTAAAATCAATAAATTGGATAGGGCCCCTCTAAAATGCCAATTCTGATTCTATGATTCCCAACTTACTCCACTATCATACTGTGTTCATCTGCTATGATCTCCCTCCAAACTGCCCCTTTCTTTCAATAATGATTTGCCCAGACCCTAATCACATCAGACCTGATCACAGAAGTCTCCCACATCAGCTTCCTAAGCTCAATGTTATTATTCCTCCCATGTCAAGAACCACCTCCCTTTAAGACCTATTCTGAGGTCTAAGGGCAGGCACTATCGCCATTTTGGACAGGATCATTCTTTGTTTAGGAGGAAGGGGGTTGATGTCCTGTGCACAGTAGGATGCTTATGTAGCATCCCTGTCCTCTAGCCACTAGATAACAGCAGCACCTGCCACCTAGCTATGATAACCATAAATGTCTCCAACATTCCTCAAGGTCTGCTGAGAAGCAAAACTGCCTACTTCTGAGAGCCACTGGTCTTGAAGCAAATGATTAACACCACTGACTTGTGGTTAAGTTTTTCACTAACTAGGTTCCCTCTACCCTCCTTTATTAGTCATATATTCTGTTCCCCCTCCCTGACCACTGTCAAAAGTCAATTCAGATTTCCACTCCTCCCTCAACATACTTCATACACTTTCATCTGGTTCCACACACCCTGGATTCTTAGACAACTATAACTATCTGCTTCTGCTGGCATCCTCATGTGTGCCTGTCTTATCTGCTCTCTGTGATTACTACGAGAATCCTCTCCTGCCTTGTTAAGATCCCACAGCACCCACTCCAGTTCTCTGCTTCCTGCTGGCACTCAACAAATATTAACTGGTGTTTCTTAGAATGTCAAACACCAGCTCCAATTAAAAATAACTGAAATCCCTTACAAGCTACCACTTCAACAACATAATAATCATGATTACAAAGTTGGGACAAACTTTTGACTTTAATAGCTATTTTGTCAGCAGTACTGAGACAGGAATCAAGTCTAATTTCCAAACTATAGCTACCAAAACAATTTAACTATTTGGACATGACAAACACATCAGAATTTTCTAAAATTATTTTTTAAAAACTCTGCATAATATAAAAATTAAGGGAAAAGGGGGCCTAGTTTTTTTTCTTTTTTTTTTTTCCATTAAACTTTAGCGATTTTGAGGAAAAAAGGGGCTAAGTTTTTATCACGTTTTTTAAATGCTGGAAAACACAGCAGGGAGAAAACGATATGAATATGGCTCAATACTTTAACTGTTGCATCATATGCTACTCCACATGGTAATGGAAGGCTGGGTCATCTAAGGACAGTTTCCTCTCCAACCTTCTAATCTGTTAGGTTTTAATCAACACGCACACATACACCCTAAATAAAGATGAGACAAATCTAATACAAAGTGTTCAAATATGTAAATAAACTGTGCCAATTCAAGATTTTGGAATTTTTCCCTGGCTCCATAGATTACCCAATCATTTTATGGGGGGCTCCATAAGTAACCTACAGAGATCAAACACACCAAATTAACTTTCGTGACTCCTGTTTTAACCACCTAATTTTCATCTCAGATTCTTCCCCATCTTGCACTTGGATCTCAACAGGGATTTAGTTAGTTGGTGTCAAGACAGGTGAAGCAAGAACCCCAACTCTGACCTAGCTGACAGTAGGAGTTTGGTCACTATTTTTGGACTGTAAAAATAAATGCTGCCTGCACACCCCATTTATGGAATATGGTGCAGGGTTCTTCCGACAGGTAAGAAGCAGAGGTCCCAGATGCTTTGGCGAGGAAGGTGTGAATCACTCTCACTCTTGGCACTGGGAGGGGCCCCTTGGTTGTTTATAAGGTAGACAGCCCTCACCATTACTGCAAACGGGAATTCCCTGCCTGTCCAGACTCTTCCAAAGTCCAGTACAAACCACGTAATAGGTGCTCAATAAACGCTGCCTGAACGGAGTTTTACTACCAAAGCTGCCAAGGAAAGTTTCCAGAAGTCAGCTCTTTAGTCCTATCTCCCTTCCAAAATATGTCCTCAAAGTTTTCTTTGTCCAACAAAAAATATTTTTCAAGATCCAAGAGCAAGAAATCTGCGAGGCAACGAGGAGCCAAATATAAGCCCAAGCGGCTCCAGCTGGGCCCCACATTCCGCTAGGACTCCCCCGTACCTATTCCCCATCTCTCCGACTACATCCTGAGTGCGCCCTCCCTCTCACCTCGGCTGTTTCTTTCCCACAACCCTACCTCTACACTTTCGGCCACACTCACCCCAACCGCGTGCTCCTGGGACCTCAGAGCCCACGTCTCCCTCTCCAGCAAGGACCTACCTCTCTTCCCCTCGACCTGCAGCAGTTCTTCTTCACTGCAGCTGGCTTTTTAAGAAATCAAAAAATCTCATTTATCTGCAAGGGATACTCCCTAGTAAAGGGGGACGGAAAGGAGAAGGCCCCTATAAACCCTCTAGTAACCGGAGGTGCTGGTCTTCCTGGCAACCACCCCCAATTCTCCTCCTTTCCAAGCTCCTGAACAGGATTTGAGCAGAAGTCCCGCTCCCAAGAGCCCACGCCTCCAAACAAGCTAGAAGCGGATTATACCGGTACCCAACCCGGAGATGGCCCGCGGCCGGCTGGGTGCACCTGCGGGCCCCCAGCTCCCTCCCACAGGCGCCGGGGGCGGGGCGCCGGCCTTCACCTCCCTGTCCCCGCCCGCTGGGCTCCCAGCGCAGCCCACCCGGCACAGGAAGGAAGCGAAGGAGAGGCGATTCTGGAGAAGTTAAAGGGCTCACCTTATGGACACCGGGGCAACAAGGCCAGACACCAAACACCCACCTCCGGGAGGAACCAGCGGAGCCGAAACCACCTCTCCCCGCCTTTCGGACTGGGCGGAGGGAGGCAAGAGAAGGGAGCGCGCGCGAGGGGTCCAGGAGCCAGGCAACCGCACTCCCCTCCCGCAGGGCTAGCAGCCCGGGGCCGAAGCGGCCGACGCTCAGACTGCAGAAAGCGGAACAATCTCCCAGGCCCCAGGGGCAGCAAACGGGAGCCCACTCCGCTCGCCACCACCTCCTCGCGACCCCCGGACGTCCCCGAATGAGTTCCCGGCCGCAACCTCAGCTCGGGCCGCGGCGCCTGCGCCAGGGTTGCGCGCTTCGGCTCGGCGCGGCTCCACCTGCGCGTCGCCTTCCCTCGCAGCCCCCGGCCCCTCCCGGGAGAGGTGCGCACCAACCTTGGGGGGCAGCTCGGCCGCCGAGCCACGGCTTATGCTGAGGCCGGAGGTGGCGGCATCACCCGCGGTGGGCGGCGGCTGCACCGGGACGCGCCGGGGCGGCGAAGGCGCGCTGCGCCCTGTACCCTGCTCCCGCGACCCCGCCCGCGGTTGCCACCTCGAAGCGCGGCGGAGGAGCCGGGGCACCACGGGCGGCGGCAGCGGCAGCAGCGGCGACGGGAGCAGCAGCACATGACTCTGTAACGAGGGGAATTAGACAAAGCGTAACATGGACTCCGGGCCAGTGCAGGCGCTGCAGCTCTGGGACCAACCGCAGCCGGCGAGCGCCGCGACTGGCCCGGCCGCAGCCAATGGGGCGGGCCCGGGCCTCCATGTGATTGCGAGCACTTTCTCCGGTCGCCCTGCAGCGCCTGACCGGACCGGGTCTGTGTGGCGAGGGAGGTGGCCCGGGGTTGGAGACTGGCGGCGAGCGACTGCTAGATGCTGAGCAGGTGGTTGGGAGGGGAAGAACGGCAGCCTACATCACCATGGCCGTAATGCTTTGTCAAGCGCCCACCTGGGCAGGGTTCGGTGCCGGGCAGGCGCCGCTGCCAATCAGCTGCGAGGCAAGCTCAGGAACCTTCACCCGTCCTGGGCGAAGGAGTCGGTCCCGTCGACTAAAACTCTGCTATTAAGACTTGGCGCTGGGGTTGGGGGGATTGAATTACACTACAAAGTCACTTAAGTGCCTTCCAACTCTAAGGAGAAAGTATTTTTCTGAGCTTTGGGGCACACACAACTACTTGGCATGGATAGTTTCTCAGCTTCATGTGTTCCGTCTGCTATTGAAGCTGTATTGGAAAGTCGGCTCTCGTTTTTATCTGAGTCCGCCCCTTTCATCCTATTCTTTTCGTCAAAAATATCTTACATCTGAAAAAGGCAGATGAAAGATTGTTCTATGCTAAGAGAGTTTTGCAGCCCGATAGTGTCACCCTTTTTTGTTGTTGTTGTTGTTGTAGGATCAAGGTTCATTTGCAGTCTTTTTTGTGGGTGAGCGGAGGCAGGGGCCAAGAAATAAATTAAGGCGAGATATTTGGAATTATTTGGTTGTAACAAAATATGTGGTTCAACCCGGTGCTTTAGTACCTTCTTTTATCTGAATCCATGTGTTTCTGTAAACCATGGGAAGTCTAATCTGTCTTCTACCAGTGTCTCTCCATGTCAGCAAATGTTCAATCAACGTTTACCCAGCATCTAAATATTCTTAATAAGCATGCTGCACAAATGTTACAGGTACTCAGGAAGGTGTCGGTTCAGAGATAGTGAGACATTAAAGAGAATGATTGTCTAGGGTTTCAGAAAAGGATTCAGAGAGATGATAGAACTGACCCTTGGATGGTGAGCACTTGGCCATCAGGCATTGGACATGAAGAGCAGCCCAAACAGGAACATGAACAGAGAGGTCCAGAATACACTCAAGGGACCGTCCGAGACTCGTTACAAGATGACACCGGATTCTGAGCCCTCGGCCCTTTTGCTCTCACTTTCCTTCCCCATCCCTCCTTGCCAGCAGCCACTCCTGTTCCACACACTGCCAAGAAGGAGGTGTGTGGGCAGGGAGTGTGTGTAAGTGATCTAATCAGTGTCAGGTTTGCTGATCTAAGAGATGAGAGGTCTTTTAAAACTTAACAACTAGTGGTGTGATATTTTGATTGAAAACAGCCCACTATTATAATGAATTTGGAATGTGTTGCTGTTTGTAAAAAATAAAAATAAAAATAAAAAAATTGTAGGCCCGGCGCGGTGGTTCACACCTGTAATCCCGGTACTTTGGGAGGCTGAGGCGGGAGGATCACGAGGTCAGGAGTTCGAGACCAGCCTGACCAACATGGTGAAAACCCGTGTCTACTAAAAATACAAAAATTAGCTGGGCGTGGTGGCACGCGCCTGTGATCCCAGCTACTCAGGAGGCTGAGGCAGGAGAATTGATTGAACCCGGGAGGTGGAGGTTGCAGTGAGCTGACATGGTGCCACTGCACTCCAGTCTGGGCAACAGAGTGAGACTCCGTCTCAAAAAAAACAAACAAACAAACAAAAAAAACCCCAGTCTTCTGTACTTTGTTCTTTTGATCTTCCCTGGGTTTTAAATTGTGATTCTAGATTTGAAAAACATGATTTCAAGATTGGTATAAATTGAGAAAAGAAAAAAGTGATATTCAGAAAACAGTCAAACGTGGAGAAATAGACATTCTCACACACTTGTAAAAGTAAGAGGAAATTGGACAATCCCTTTGGAGGACATTTGGAAATTTTTGATAAATAGATGTGTTCCCTTTGAACAGGTAACTGCATGTGTGAGGGTTTGTACTTTAAGCATATATGTGCAAAAGTTATATCAGAAATATTTACACATGTACAAAAATATGTATATACGTGTCTTATTGCAGCATTGTTTGTAATAGTGGAAACATGTAATGGTGTAAAAATCAAATAATAAAGTCCCAGTAGGAAACTGTTTAAGCAATTTTTGCTAGATCTGTAAAAGGAAACCATAAGCAGCCATGAACAAAAATAAGCTAGATCTATTTGTACCTACATGGAAGAATGTCCAAAATCTGTAAGCGAAAAAAAAAAAAAAAAAGGCTGCAGAACAATATGAATAGTATGATTCCATTTTTTGTATTTTTTTTGCATTAAGATATACATGTTATTAAATGTATGCTTCAGAAGAAATCTGGAAGCATATATAACAGGATGTTAATGGTGATTATCTCTGGGTGTGGGATTACTGGGCCTTTCATTAAGTTCTGTATGTTTGAATTGTTTTTATATTGAGCACGTATTACTTTGATAATCAGAAACGTAATTTTAAAAATTTAAAGGATTGTTTTAGAGTATATTCAGGCTATTATAACAAAATACCATAAGCTGGGTGGCTTATAAGCAACAGAAATTGGCTGGGTGTGGTGGTTTATGTCTGTCATCCCAGCACTTTGGAAGACCCAGGCTGGAGGATCACCTGAGGTCAGGAGTTTGAGACCTGCCCGGCCAACATGGTGAAACCCTGTCTCTACTAAAAATAAAAAAATTAGCTATGAGTGGTGTCAGGCACCTGTAATCCCAGCTACTCTGGAGGCTGAGGCAGGAGAATCACTTGAACCCAGGAGGTGGAGGTTGCAATGAGCCAAGATCATGCCACTGCACTCCAGCCTGGGTGACAGAGTAAGGCTCTGTCTCAAAAAAAAAATAAAAAATAAAAAATTCTTACAGTCTGGGAGCTAGGAAGTTCAAGGCAACAGCAGATTCCACATCTGTGTGTGTGTGTGTGTGTGTGTGTGTGCGCGCGCGCGCGCGCGCGCCTTCTTTCTGGTTCATAGAGGGTGACTTCTTGCTGTATCTTCATATAGTGGAAGAAGGAGTGAAGGTCTCTCTCAGGCCTCCTTTTTAAGGCCACTAATCCCATTCATGAAGGCTCTGCCATCATGACCTAATGCCTCCCAAAGGAACCACCTCCTAATACCATGAATTTAGGGGTTAGGATTTCAACATATAAAATGGAGGGGCGGGGGGACACAATATTCAGACTATAGCATGGATAAAATTAGTAAGAAGTCTACCAGTGATAAGTAATGAAAAATAACTGATCATCTACAATGTAAAAACAAAAAAAGCCCATCAGCTTCTCCTTTTCCATAAAAAACAGAACAGAGGCAGCAAAGGACAACTGATTTGACGTTGGGTTCAGAATGAAGAAATATGATGGAAAAGGAATCTGAGTCTACTCTAGACATATCTACAGAGAAACACAGGGCTTCTAGGAAGTTCTGTTCAACAAAAACTTATAGAGCACTTACCATCCTTTGCTACTTGTTATAGTTAAGAATTGGCAACTGTTTCAGCACTTGGTAAATCTGTATCACAATAGTAACAACTAATACTTACATAGGTCCTCTTCCAAATACTTTACACATACCTGTAGTCTTCACAGCAACCGCATGAGATACTATCCTCATCTAATAGATGGGAAACAGAAGGCTTTAAGGAGGCTCTGTGACTAGCTCAATACCACATAGACTTTAACTGACAGCTAGATTTTTAAGTCAGGTGGCCTGGCTCTAGAGGTCCAAGCACTTAATCACAGTTCTGTCTAAAAGGACCATGTAAGATAAAGGGCATTATTTGTGCATCTCCTCTTACCAAGTATGATGATTCTAACTTGATTTGTTCTTACCTAAACTATAGCATGCTTCAAGACAATCCATAATACTTCTGAATGAGGGAATGAATATTGACTTTCCTACAAAGGAAGAATCTGAGCTCCTTGGAGGAGTGATTTTGCATTCTTCAATTTTATCACCTAGTAGAGTGCCGAACATATGGTAGGCAATATGGGTTTCAATAATCTG